TTACTTTAGTTTTGATGCAAAAACGCTTGATCGCACCGGCTCGCCTGGTGCGTTCCAGCCTTTGTTATGCTGTGCAACAGCTGTACAAAAAGCATATTATCACGAGGTTGTCTGTGCGTGTGTTTGTGTGTATTTGTATGTTTGTGTGTGTGTGTGTGTGTGTGTCTCCGCAGCGACATGTTTTGTCTGTAAATTGCGCATCCACGTAGGGATCGATTGCCAAAAAATCGGGATTTTTTATGCTTTTTTTGAAGCCATACAGTACAGAAAATGCATATTGGCGAGAGGTTGTCTCTGTGTGTGTCTGTGTGGGTGTGCCTGTGTGTGTTCGTGTGTGTGTGTGTGTGAGCGCTGCGCGTCTGTACTGATTTTCTTTTTCGACCAAGCAAATAGGGATTTTGAAATTTGGATGTTTCACGTGTACGGGTGCGATCGGAACGGCATCATGTTGTAATCCTGCATCTTTTAGATTAATATCAGTTTTCTGTGATAAGTTATCACCTACAGATTAGAATCAATCTGAAAAGACCTAGAGGGAAGGGGAACGGAGAAAGAGCAAGCTGCACAGAGTTTGGCTACTACTGCATGAATTACTTTGATTGTTCCCTCACCATAGAAGTTTCTACTTTCAAGCCTATAAATATATGGTTGTCTTCTGCTCTTATATATAAAGAAGCCGTTAAATGAACTCTAGAAATAAATATGTATGTTTATCTATTTAAAACATATGAAAAGCGTTGAGATTGCCAGCGGGCTGACCGACGATACAGCACTGATCAAGTTACTGGATGATTACTAGCCACACTAGGAATCCAGGACTTATTCTGGGTGATAGCAATTATATATGAATCTGTGAAAATATGTGGGGTAGGGGGGGAGGGGCTGGACAGGTTGGGGGCAGGGGATGGGGGGAGTGCGATGGGTCGGAATTGTTTTACAGTTCTTTCATTTTATTTATCCAACTGTTCCTTTTTAGGCTCTCGAAAAGAAGCGGAAATGTTTGATGATTTGAGTCCGGAAGAGGCAAAACGACGATTGGGAATTTTGGCTCGAAAAATGGATAGTAACAAGGATGGCTTCGTTTCCGCCACAGAATTGGAAGCATGGATACAGCGGTATGGTAATCTTTGGTTTTTTGATTCTCTGGGAAACTGCTGTTTCTTCGTTGTACTGCTTCTTGGCAGCTGCGCAGAGCTGCTGAAAACCCCTCCCCCTTCCCTTTTGTTTTATTTTGAGCTTGCTACACATCTGGATATCCCCGTGCGGAGGCGTTAATGTGATGGATTTTCCAGTTTTCGTCGAAGATCAGTTGCTTTTTTCGGTATTTTTCGGCAAAAGTAGGCATGAGAATAGTTGGCAATTTATAGTGAGAAAGTTTTGGGGGATCGGTAATAAACATCACGCGCCGAGGCCTCAAAACGTTCTAAAATCTTGCTGAGAGTCTCCTTTGGGTAGACTTTAATGCGTGAAGGATGAACGGGGGGCCTACTCGACTGCAGGGAATGTGCTGT